AGAGGGATGGAGGAATCGAACCCAGGTCGGTCGGGTCGGCCGCATGCAAGGCAAATGCCCTACCGCTAGGCTATCACTAATATATATGTAAATATACATATATATTAATTTTCTAATTTTTAAAAAAATTTTTTGGGGAGGTCACACCTGGCAATGAACAGAGGTTACTCCTGGCTTTGCATTCAGGAATTACTCCTGGTGGTTCTCAGGAGGTATATGGGATGCTGGGAATCGACCCTGGGTCAGCAGCATGCAAGGCAAACACCCTACCTTGTGTACTATTGCCCCAGCCCCTATATTAATTTTCTTATACTTGTTCTTCAGCTTACATGATCATTAACAACATATATGTTCTTTGGCTTGCATGATCATTAAGAGTTTGATTATGTGTTCTTGTGTTATGAGCTAGGGAATTATTTTTTATTTTGAGAGTTCTAAAGGACTAAAAAATATGAATATTAATTGCTATGTAGGATGCAATGTACTGTTCAATATCTAACTAGTTGTTTACTAATTGTGACTTCTTATTTTGTGCTTTATAAACAAAGAATTGGGTAATGGAAAAAATATAGTTTAGCTACTAGCAGACTTGCATCTCTCATTTCTAATACATTTTTTTTGCTTTTTTGGGGGGGGGATCACACCCAGCGATGCACAGGGGTTACTCCTGGCTCATGCACTCAGAAATTACTCCTGGAAGTGCTTGGGGGACCATGTGGGATGCTGGGAATTGAACCTGGGTCGGCCATGTGCAAGGCAAATGCCCTACCTACTGTGTTATCACTCCAGCCCCTCTCATTCCTATTTCTTGAAGTTCTGTGTTTAATTTTTATTTTATCTATTTTATTATTATTATTATTATTATTATTATTATTATTATTGCTTTTTGGGGTCATACCTGGCGATGCACAGGGGTTACTCCTGGCTCATCATGCACTCAGGAATTACTCCTGGTGGTACTCAGGGGACCATATAGGATGTTGGGAATTGAATCCAGGTCGGCCACTTGCAAGGCAATGCCTACTCACTATGCTATCACTCCAGCCATATGTTTAATTTTTAGAAAATCATGTTAGGCTACCTTTCAGTTGCCTCACAGGAGTTACACTTATTCCATGAGGGTTTGACCATGTGTGTTCTGTTTCTACAAGGTCTATTGTTTTTGTTCATTGTCCATCTTTTCGGTGATTGCTTATAGTTTAGCAGTTCACTAAGTGCATTAAGAACTGTTAGAAAGGAAATGATATTTTAATGAGTTAATTAATAAGTTATATTAATTTTGGTTTTGAGGGTCACATCGGCGGTACCCAGGGCTTATTCCTACTTATTCTTTACTCAGTGATCACTCCTGGTGGTGTTGAGTATTGAACCAGAATTGAAGACGTGAAGGACAAGGGCCCTACAATATCTAAACCCCTCTTCATGTCTCATGGCAAGTTCCAACTTGGTGTTTTTCTTTTTATTTGTTTATAGAGACCACCCTAGGGGCCACTCTCCCTGATTCTTAGCTTGTAGCTGGTGCTGGTGTTGTAGAGTTCAGGACTGGTGGTACTCAGAGTCACTAGGGTTACACCCAATAGTGGTGAAAGGTGGGGGTGTGAGAACCTAAGATTAAACTTGAGCTCACACATGACTGCCATATGCTCCACCCTTTTCAGCTATATCTTCAGTCCCTTTTACTGTTTTTGATCACTTTATAATTAATTTCTTCTACTTTTAGGCTGCTTTCTGTATATTTTTATGATTGATTACTTTCATAATATAGCTACTTATTTATTTTACTATTCATGAATTGCCTACCTTTGTATCTCCCAAACTCTAAAATACTTTGCACACATTTGGTACTTAGTCATTTTTAAATTGAACTTTTATGCCTGTATATTTAAAAATCAATAGTTTATTCCTGGTACTAATCTAGAAGACATTAAAATTGTATTCAATTGGGTTGAAAACTTCTACTTCAGGACTTTAACAAGACTTAATTTGGTCTTTTGGTCTAACTTTTGCATTATATAGATGGTATAAATGCTTATTTGCATGACTCAAGTAGGTAGATGTAAGAAGTAGTTATCTTGTCACTGATTATGAATCACTAAAGTGGATGATTATTACTGATTACCTCCTACTTGTTCCTTTGCATTTCAGATCAAAGGCATAAATTTTGTAAAGATAAAGTGTTCTAAAGCTATTCATAAGTGTTTTTATGTTGTGATATGATTTTTAGTAGGCATTCATGGCCCTTTACTGGATGATGTGCCCTTAAATATAGTGAATTAGAATATGATGCTTATTTTCTTTAGATTTCTGAATATTTTTCAGCTCTTCCTTATCCTCATTTCTCTCCATCATTTAAAAAAATCTTTAAAAAATAATCACATTATTCAGCTATATATTTAACATCTACTATGTGTGGGTAGACTTAGACATGATTAGATTTGGAAGTGAACAAAATAGACAAGGTTTCTAATCTCTGAAATAGCAAATAAGCAACCATTTGCTCATTCAGCCAGCATTTATTTCTGCCTGTTATGTGCTAGGCATTGTTCTGGAAATTGTGGGCATAGGAGTAAAAATGAGTCTATACCCTCTTACATTCTAATGAATGTTCTGAGAACTGTAGGGATAGGAGTAAAAATGAGTGTATACCCACTTACAATATAGTAGAAGAGTGAAATACGGGCAGAAGACTAACTTTAAGGAGGTTGTTCATGAAAGATTTTTCTAAGAAAGTGATGTCTGAGCTGAGACCTGAAGACTGAGAAGGAAGGGAAGAAATATTTTGAGTGCCAGCTGTAATTTCCATGATTAGGATGGACTCATTGGTTTATGATATTAGAGCTGAGAAGATTAAGAAATGTATTAGTTCTTCCAGTTTTTAATTTATTATTATTGTTTTTCTGATTATCTTAGGATATGTGAAGGGGTCACACCTGGTGGTATTCAAAGCCTATTCCTGGCTTTCAGGAATTGTCTCCAGGGTTGTCCTGGAGATGTCAGGGGATCATGCAGGCTGGGGGTTGCTTCGAAACTTCCTGCATGCAAAGTATGAAAACTAACCCTTTGAACTATCTCCCTAGCATCCCCACCCCCACCCCAACTAATTATTAAGTCAGGGTATCAACTGAGACATTTTGTGGTATGTGTGGACTAGACAGCAAAGTGGAAACAACTTGCAAATGAACTTTTTGAGGACAGTGATCAATGGGTTGCATCATTCCACAGGGAAGGGTTTATTCAGATGCAAATGTGTAGAGGCTAACTTGCTGTGTTGACAGTCACTAATAGTCTAAGAATGGATTACTTAGGAACCCCCCCCCCCCCCAGAGAGTTCAAAGAGTTGCATCACCTACCTGATGTGCATGAGGTCTCAGCCCCCTGGGCACTTCCAAGTATAGCCCTAGAGGCCCCTTGAACACTACTAGGTGTGGCCTGGTGGCCCCCCAACACCACTGACCAGAGTAACATGGCATAGCTGGATGCTAGCAATGAGCTATCTGGCCTCAACTTGGAGTAGCCCCCAGTTACCTTGAGGGAGACCTCCAAAATTTATATATTTTTCATTAACCCCCACGCCCCTTTGCCACTGTAGTTGTCATGACCAGGGGTCACACATACCTGACTTTGGTGTTTATAGATTAAGTTGTGGTGCTCTCTGGGTCATCCACATGCTCACACACTTGACTTTGATACTCACCAAGGGTTGCACTCTTTTAATTATGATATTTGCAAAGGGATTCCCTCTTTAGTTGTGCTACTCAAATACAGTTTGGCTATAGTGCTTTCCAGGATTGTACTTCCTGTCAAGGTGCTCTTGCATCTTTTATTGCAGTGGAGGGTTAGTGGATACAGATCCTGAAGCAAAAACAAAGGAAATGTTTTGGAGGATGTCAGTAGACTGGATTATGGTATCAGAGAAATGTGGAAATGTAAAGCTAAGACATGAAGCAAGGGTCATGGTATAAAGGACCTGGAAGGTTATGTGAAAGAAACTTTCTCCTGAAGTCAGTAAGGCCTACTATTGGGTTTTACATAGAAAAGTGATAATCAGACATAGTAGCTCTAAACTGGGAGATTTGCTCTGAAGAAGTTTTATTTAGGGACTGGGCATGACTCAAGAGGGAGAACACATCCTTTTCTTTTCTTTTTCATTTTTTTTTCAATTGAATCACCTGAGATACAGTTACAAATTTTTCATGTTTGTGTTTCACTCATACAATGATGGAACACCCATCCTTCCACCAGTGCACATTTTCCATCACCAATGTCCCCAATAACCCCCCCCAACTCGGCCCTCCCCGCCTTTATGGCAGACAGTTTCCCCCTCATCTTTTATACATGTACAGCCCTGATTCAATCCCCAACACCAGACCTGTGTGGCTACAGAGCACCAACAGATGTGAACCCTGGGATACTATAACAAAGCAAAGTAACGAGTTGGATTTAATTGTAACTGAAGTTTATTCTCAAATTAAGTCTTTGATTTAAATTTTTTTGAGCCATACTCAGCAGTTCTCAGGGCTCACTCCTGGTTTTGTGCTCAGGGATCACTCCTGGTGGACTCAGGGAAGCATATGGTGTGCTGGTGATCAAACCCAGGTTGGGTGCGTGCAAGGCAAGCACCCTATCTGCTGTACTATAGCTTTAGCACTGTCCTTGATTTATTTTCTTAATAGCTTAATAAAAGACAAGTAGAAATCCTTTAAACATGTACTTACTATTTTTGTCTGAAAAGAATTAATCGCAATTAATATAGGACCAACATTAGACACAGAAATAAAGACTGACTTACAATGCATTATTAAACTCATACTACTATGTTTGCAAGAAGAATTGAAATGGAAAATTTTTATTCTAAGTACATTTGATGAGTGCTATATATTTTCCATCATATCATTGAAAATACTAGAAAATTTCCCATGAGTTTATGTGCCATTTAATAGTCCAAATGAAATGTAGATGAAACTCTGTACTTTCTCTCTCTAGTGACTTAAACTTTGGAGATGCTTCCATTAACTGGGAAAACAGTCATTTTTGATAACTTCCCTGATCCTTCTGATACATGGGAAATTACTGAAACAATCGGCAAAGGAACTTATGGGAAAGTTTTCAAAGCACTAAATAAGAAAAATGGCCAAAAAGCAGCCGTCAAAATTCTGGATCCGATTCACGTAAGTCATTTTCCTGCCCCTTTCTATTGTGTCTAATGGATGAAAGTTTTTAAGTATCTTATCACACGGTCAGTTATTATTTGTTTTTTTAAAAGGAGTAGGAAAATCAACTTGCTAAACTTTCCTTGTCTATATACTAAATAAAACTCAAGAAATGTTAGATAAAATGAATGATTATGTCATATGAACATCTGGAGAAGTATAGTTCAAAACAGCTCGAGTTGATTTGACATTAATTTAGCTTTCAGAGAAAATTCTAGGAATGTATTTATGGTTCTAGGAGTACTTCTAAGATGTCATCTTGACTAATTTCCTTTTCCTCCAGCATTTATCTAGGCTTCAGGCAGAGTTTCCCATAAACCAAGTCAGACATATTTTTTAAAACTTAAAATTTCTTTCAGAGAAGGGAAATTAGTTGTCAAGGTGTGTCCGTGTCCCCAAAGCAGACATGTTTGTTTCCAGACCACTGTTTCCTGTGAAGAACTTTCCTAGTGCCTTGGTGTAAGCCTGACACCATTGGGGTACCCTGAATTTTCTCAGAGAGTGGTAGATGTGACCATGAACCTATGAAGTTTCTTCTTTGCTTTTAAGAAATTGAAAAAACTACTGAGATTGTGTTTTCTGGGTGTGGGCACTGTTTTTTTTTTCTTTTTTGGGTCACACCCGGCAATGTGCAGGGGTTACTCCTGGCTCATGCACTCAGGAATTACTCCTGGCTGTGCTTAGGGATGCTGGGAATCGAACCCGGGTCAGCCGTGTGCAAAGCGTTTGCCCTACCGCTGTGCTATCACTCCAGCCCTGGTTTTAAGGAAACATTTTCAGCTTTCTGGATGTCGTTGCCCCCGATAGCAGAGCGGTAAGCCAGAAGTAGTAGTGGTCACAGACTCCCCAAACTGCTACCACATGAAACTTTCCTAATTATCCTGCTCCAACTATCTAATGAGACAGTGGCATGATGGAGATGATGGTGTGTGGGGAGGAGTCTCTGCTGTCACTTGTCACAGCTCTCCCATTAATAGACTGCAGGAACTGGAAAAGGTCTCTGTGCATCGGTTGTTATTTTAGGCTTGCTTTTTTTTTTACCTGGAATTTATTTCTACTAATCCCATTATTAATAGCACAGCGGTAGGGTGTTCGCCTTACAAGCGGCCAACATGGCCGACCCGAGTTCTATTCCTCCGCCCCTCTCGGAGAGCCCGGCAAGCTACCGAGAGTATTCGATATGCCAGACACAGTAACAACAAAGTCTCCAATGGAGACGTTACTGGGCCCGCTCGAGCAAATCGACGATCAACGGGAGGGCCTTTACCTTTACCTCGAGCAATCCCATTATGATGATAATGTTGCATCTTATTTCAAGTGGAGGATAAGATCAACCATGGGGATTGATTTTGAAATCGTAAATTAGACACCCAGAAGGGGAAATAAGGAGAGCCCTGTGTCCAGACTTTCCTGGTGCTCGGTGTTTTCATATTGCCCTGTTGGAAAGTTCTTAGCATCTAGACCTGAGGGAAGAGAGAACAAACTGTACCGAGGTGACAGTGCATGCCTTTCATTTCCCTGAACTGTGAATTAGGGATTCATGGAGGCCAGAAAAAGGCGCCAGTTGCACCCTATATTTTGGTCCCATAATCCCATAATCTCTCCCATTGCATTGCTATTCTATTCTGTGGAGAACAAATGACTCATGAGTGTAGGCGGCCACTATTTTCTAATTTACTCGTCTGCTTTACTACTCTTATAAATCATGTTTATATGTTTATTTTAGTGCAGTATTAATTCTATATAGTATAAAGTTTTTGTTGTTGTGCCTTTACTCTTTTCATAGTACATGTATATTTCTGTAAGAATTTCTTTTACTCTTCATCATCATGTCATAAATCAAATAAAAACAATTTAAGTCTAATGCCAGCTTGCTCACATGAAGAATAATACCTTAATTTTTCAAGTCATCATTTCATTATCAATTTTGTAGGTCAAACACTATTTCATTGGAATAATAATTTACATTTCTTGGATGTTAAATTAAAGGATAATAATGTTAATCTTCAAAAAAAGGATTTATAATCCCAAGATATTTTGATCATAAAATAAAATTTACTGAATTCCAGCAGTGAATTTTAGAGTGAATTTTACAGTGAATTTTAAAAATAATACCACATGCTTTTATCACCATATATTGTGAACTTGTAATGTTCTCTCAAAGAATAGGATTGGAAGGTAATAGGCAGAAATCTTATAATTTAATCCTGGATCTTAACTAACCAGCTCTGTGTCTTTAATTGCTCTGATCTTTAGATATGTCTTCTCAAATTAGAGTTCTAATCTAGAATTTTTCAGCTTTGTGCTCCCAATATTCTGACATGTACATTAAATGTTACTATAAAAGCAACACTGGAATTTTTTTCTTTTTGGGTCACCCACCCAGCAATACTCAGGGGTTCTTCCTGGCTCTGCACTCAGGAATTACTCCTGGCAGTGCTGGGGGACCATATGGGATGTTGGGAATCGAACCCGGGTTGGCTGTGTGCAAAGCAAATGCTTTACCCACTGTGCTATTGCTCCAGCTCCAATACTAGAATATTTTTTCTTATTGATTACTCTGAGTTGTTTCAGATGTAAGTGGTTTTCTAGGAATGGAAACATTTGTCAATTTTATAGATAGGCTAATAATCTATTCTAATTTTCATAAAGGAATCTTTAGCTAACTAAATGCCATATATGCTATCACACATATTTTTAACATTTTTAAATATTAGGAATTAATTGATTAGATGACAAGTTCTGGATAGGTTTTTGTTTTGAGTGCTACTGAAACAAAGTTAACTCTACAAAGAAAGGAAAATCAAGTGAAATACTTTGTGCATATTTGCTTATTTCTAATTGCATACAAAAAGTGTCCTTTGCATATACACTTTAAACTCAATGAATTTAGCACAATTGGAGACATTGATTAGCAGGAAAATTGTAATCTCACCCTTAAATGATGCAATGAGAAATACTAATACATAGTATTGAGCTCAGTAAAAATTTTGTACCTTACTTTGACAAAGGGCTGGAGCGATAGCACAGCGGGTAGGGTGTTTGCCTTGCACGCGGCCCACGTGGCCATCCCGAGTTCAATTCCTCCGGCTCTCTCAGAGAGCCTGGCAAGCTACCGAGATTATCTCGCCGGCATGGCAAAGCCTGGCAAGCTACCCGTGACGTATTCGATATGCCAAACACAGTAACAACAAGTCTCACGATGGAGACGTTACAGGGCCCGCTCAAGCAAATTGATGAACGATGGGAGGACAGTGCTACAGTGCCACAGTGCTACTTTGACAAAATTAAACTTTTTACTTGGTAGTCATATTTCTTTGACACTACACATTTTTTTCTCACTATCATTTTTCTGATTTTTTGAAACTAGGATATTGATGAAGAGATTGAAGTAGAGTATAACATCTTAAAATCACTTTCTGACCACCCTAATGTTGTCAAATTCTACGGGATGTACTTTAAGAAGGATAAGTTAAATGGAGATAAGCTGTGGTTGGTTCTCGAGGTAAGTGGTCCAGCTTATGTTTTGGAGAGGAATTTACAAGCTGGTCTTAGAATGATTTAATGTTTATGCAGCATTGACACCATGCAGCAGTTTTTCTAGCATGTTCCTCATCCTCAGCAGAATAGAGAACTTAATGCTAGTTTCGTTATCTTAAGCCACTGGAAATTAAAGAAAATTATGGAAAGAAAACATCTCTACTTTAGACTAGAGAAACTAGAACTATTTTTCACTAAAAGGGATTTCATTATAATATGTATTTATTCATCATATTTTGTTCAGCTAATGATATTAAGTCTCCGTGCTACATGCTAAAATATCAGAGAAAATTAATGTGAGCGAAGCTCCATTAGACAAAATGGGCAACGGCAAGTTTCTTTTTCTCTCTTCATTGAATGCTAATGACTCAAACTGCAGAGCCAGGTATTATTTACATTTATGGAGGAAAAATGTACTTACTGGCTACTGTGATGGTGTTGAATACTGAATTTTTTCCAAGAGAAGATAAAGGGTCTGCCTTTCCAAATCCTGTGAGTAATAGGGCTTTTCTTTTTTATTTATGGGGACTAGAAGTTGCCTCACTAAGGTAACTTCCAGTTCTAGAAGAATGTGGTTTTATTAATTTTCATTGACTATTAGTTCAAACTGATCATTGCTTATAATCAAATGTATAGACTTTTTGTTTCTACCTGCTATATATCAGCTATACTATTGCTCCAGCCTCTGGTATAGGAATTTTTTCAGTCACTTTCATCAAACTGTGAGGGTGATAAAAACTTTATTTGACCTCTATGACGTGTCCATTTACTGTGGTCATCGTTATTTTGTTAACATTTATAATGACAGCACTTCTTTTGGGGAATGTCCCACTATTTTTCCTGCACAATAGCTACTAATAAATTTTATTTTTCTAGTATGATTTTTAGGGCGTTTGCCTTGCACGTAGCCAACGTGGCCGACCTGAGTTCAATTCCTCTGCCCCTCTCGGAGAGCCCGGCAAGCTACCGAGAGTATCTCGCCCGCATGGCAGAGCCTGGCAAGCTCCTTGTGACGTATTCGATATGCCAGACACAGTAACAACAAAGTCTCCAATGGAGACGTTACTGGGCCCGCTCGAGCAAATCGATGATCAACGGGAGGGCCTTTACTTTTACTTTACTTTACTACAAAAAATAATGATCACTGTAGAAAATACTTGAAACTATGAAATGAACTACTTTTAATGTTTAACAAGTTTTCTCCCTCTGCATTTGTCTATTTGAAATTGGCAGGCATTTCTTATGAATATTTACTCTATTTTTATCTAACTTCAGACAGACAATCCTTTGGGGCAGTAGGGGGTTTGGGCCACCCTCCCATACTCAGGGCTTATTCCTGACTTTGTGCTCAGAGATCACTCCTGGCAGGTTCGGAGGACCATCTGGGGTGCCGTGTATTGAACATGGGTCAACAGTATACAAGGCAATCACCCTGCTTGCTGTACCATCTCTCAATCCTCAATAATTTTTAAAATATACTTTTCAAAATAAATACATTGACTTTGTTGATAAAGAGTAACCTGAACTACGAGGCTCACAGAGTAGAGCAATGATGATGTAGATTCAGTTTACTGGCACTGCTGCCTTTTAAGCAGGTCTGTGCTTAGATGTGTTGGTTGCTCTATCTGAATCCATAGGCCTCAGCTTTTCTCTCTAAGTTAGTAATCCCTAGACTCAATTCTGGCAGGTTCTTTTTTTGTTTGTTTGTTTCTCTTTTTTTTTTTGGGGGGGGGGGGCTTAGGGTGACCACACACTGCAATGCAATTAGGGGTTGCTCCTGGCTCCACACTCAGGGATCACTCCTGGTGGTGCTTGTGGGACCATGTGGGATGTGGAGGATCATATCCCCAGGTCAGCCACATACAAAGCAAGTGCCCTCCCTCCCTGTTGCGCTACTGTTCTGGCACTTGGCAGGGATTTTAATCCATTAATGAATCTTCTTGGTCCCTTCTTCTGTGTCTTCCTTGAATCTGAACCTCTGGACCACTCTCCACTGCCTACCTGGGTCATTGATGGACAGCCCTCCTCTTTTCACATACCTCTATTTTGCACTTTGGACATACTTTACTCCCATTATCCACAATACTGATGGCACCAAATCTTTCATTCTTTCTGGTTAGATTCTCTGGGATGGTGTTGGCAATATTTCTTGACTCTTACCTGCCATGGCCACCTTCCAACCTTATTTCCTTCCCATGGTTTCTTTATCCTACCGTTTGACCCCCTAGTCTCATGTACTGCTCCCCTACTCCTACCTGCATGATTTTCACCTGAGGCTCCTGTGGATCATTTCATACTCTCTCCCCTTGAGAAATGCTGTGTGTGTGTGTGTGTGTGTGTGTGTGTGTGAGTGTGCGTGCGCGCGCGCATGCACTTGCATGTGCGTGTGCACAAGAGCACACACTTGGATTCTTGCATGTGTTGTGTTTTCATAGGCTTTCAATGTTGATATTTAATATTAAGAATGTGTTAAATCTTTTGATTAGAGACTTACAAAGAATTTTCTGCCCACAATCCCACCTTAATTCGCACTGCCTTTATCCCTGTCTGGGTAATCTGCTCAATTCACCTTGTGACAGTAGTACTCACTCTGTACTTTCTTACGGCTATCTTAAGATTTTTGTTTTCCTTTACGAGTTCTGCCTTGGTAGACCATTTGCAGTTGGTCATCTGCTCTTCATATTGACACATTTTGAAGTCTCTTGTTCATGTCCTTCCTTCATTTATTTACCGGTGGTTTGTACTTTATTGTCTCTCTTGACTTGCATTTATTAAGGGTTTATTAGTGAGAAGAAATAAATTTATATTTTTATCCTCTACTTTTAATTGAAGCTTTCAAAATATGAAACTGCATATTAGAATATTTTACAGAATTTGAGATATATTTTTAATGACCAGTTGTATTCTTTTAAGATAGGCAATCTGTTATGACCTCAAAATTATTTTGCATTTCTGAGTGACATTTAAATTTCATTTTTCAGTTAAATCACACACTAAAACAAAGCATAACGTTTCTTCATCTTATTACCAAGTTACTTAATATAATACGAATTATGAAGTTAGGTTGTTTTACTTCAAATTGACAGAATTTTAAAGACTTTACTTTACATTATTGTTTGTATGGATAGAACTGTAATACAGAGTAAATCCTGGGAGTAGTTTTGGATAAAATTCTCTTTTCTTGTTTTCTTCAAAATATTTTTCGTGCTGCTAGACAACAAACTGCAGCCCCTTCAAAACATCTTTTACAACACATCCTTTTTTCCCCATGTAGAATAAGTGGCAGATTAGCATTTGGATGAATATTCAGCTGTTTTGCCTAATGGAGACCTAAGTGGGCAAGGACACAGTTATAAATCTCTGCCCAGAGATGAATAATATTGAGTGAGATTAATCATGGCCTATTATTCCTATCAAGCCTCTGTTCTAGTTATATTGTCAGTTCTCAATATTGTCATCTGGAGTTAGATTAGCAGTTTGTAATCATAGTTCTTATAGGGGAAGCAGAAAATATTGATTAAAATGGTTTTGGAACATCTAATACAACATGGAAAGTAAATTTATGATATAACGAATCAGTAGAAACTTAACAGCTTCTTTGAAGTTTGTATTTATATTCTATTATTAGGTTGAGGTATTAGAAATATCCCTAAATGACTTAAGACAAAAAGGATAAATTGTACTTTATTAAAATGGCATTTCACAAATCTGATTTATAGGGGTGAGGAAAGCATAAAGAAAGCAAGAAGTTGGCAAACTGTATATAAGATAATTGATTTGCATATGTAAATTAGGCTAATTACAGACACACATAAGTGGCTAGATGTACAATTACCTGATTTATAAACATGAATGGCACAGGTGCTGCTTTAGAGGCACTTTCAGAAAATTGACTGTGGCATCAATACTTTATCCTACAAAATGACTGCTAATTATACCTCTTATGCTAATAAAGCCCAAATAAATTATTTTGCATGAAAATACCCAAAGACTGGCCGAAGAGAGGCTATGGCACTAACCTTACCAGTGCTGGGCTTCCAAAGTGAGCTCCTGACAGAGATGTGTTTCGGAAAAGGAGAGCATATGGTGACACTGCTGACTTAGAATTGGAAAGGCTTGATGAACTTAGCCATGCTCTCCCTCTATGACTTTTCACCTTGAAAAAATTTTTTATTTATGTCTCAACACAGAATAGAGATCCTAAGAATTTTGACTCGAATCTTACTGTACATTCTATTTTCTCAGTGATTTCGTTATGATTTTTGACTTCCTTCCTTCCTTCCTTTTTTTTGCACATGAATAATGTGCATGGCTCTGTGTAGGAATTATTTTCTACTGCATTATCTCTTTGATGTTCTCTTTGGCACTCTTAAGTGCTGCCTGGATTTAGTAAAGGGTCACTAACTGCTAGTCCTATGAAATTCCATACTTGTAACAAAATATTCTAATGAAAGAAGGAATAGAAGCTTTTCTGGATTTGAAACAAATTTGTTTTGCTTGGTCTTTATAGACTTTTTAGGATACATATTTTTTTATCACTTGATGTGTCAAGTCTTCATAATAAGGGAGGGGGATCTGGGAAGGTGGAAACAAAGTACAAATGGAATAAAATCATTTGATATTAAGCATTTGCTACTGATGATTACAAAGGGGAAAATGAGATTTTACTATAATTTTCCCCATCTTGGTTGGGTGAGTAGTCCCATTTCCAGCACCTAAAGAAGCCAGGCATCTCTCTCAGGGGCTATTTGCTTAATGTACCTTCAGTCATATAATGGAACCAAAATTCAGAGTTAGGACATTTTTCTGTCAAAGATCCTTTTTCCTCATCATCCAACCTTAGCTATAATTACTCCTTTCATGGTGGTGCTACAGACTGCATTCTATTATTTATCTAAATTGGGCCTGATTTGTTCATTCTTAATAGTGACATTGCTTTCTAATTATACCAATTTTTCTCTTTGA